TATTTTCACCTTTGTTCGCCTTGGTTGATATGATATATAGATTTTGATTAAGAGCCACAATATATTATGAATATATCTATTCAAGGGGAGTGCAGCCCTATATAAATTTATTTTCGGTTTTTAAAATCTTTCATTATAAATAATTTTACCTTCGCATTCAATTAATTTACTCCTCAGGTGGAAGGTCATATTAATTCCCTCCCGGTTAGTTCATCTGCAAATGGCCACCTCTCCGCCCCATTTTACGTGTCTCCGGATGCCCTGCTAAGTCATTGCTCTAATCAACCTCTTTCCGGCAAAACTCGTAGCTCCCTTGGTCAACAATGTGGTCGCATCAGTCGCTTGTTTGGGTGTCTCCTGCCTCAGCCCAGACAGTTGAGCAAATGTGATAAGCACCATCAGGGAAACAAACGACTAAGGGGGCAACGGTGTTCTCGGAGTCAGACTTCCGAACGCAAGATAACCTCTTGTAGAATCCGACCTGTATCATTTCACCTCGATATTCCCTACTCATCTCCAAAATTAAATAGGGATGCATTACCGATTACAATAGATAACATTGGGGAATCGACTTGTCTACAACAACAACATAACTTCCACCCGTTGCTCTCAGCCAACCAACTGGTCTCAAGCAGAGGGTTAAATCTACCTCCTGTTTTGTCTGGCTCATCGATCACCTCTAACTCGGCAACCACCGTCGTCGGTCTTCCGACTGGCTTATCAATGCTTTTATCTGGATTATCTCAAGCAGGAGCTTGCCAAAATTTAGCCAATCTTGCTTTGCCATCATCACCTGATTGCGAATATCCTGGGCACTCGGCAACCTTCCTTGCCGGCTCTCACCGCCCTCTTGTGGCTGGTGGCAAGGTACCTGATCTAGCTGCATTGAGAACCACCTTGTCACAGCAGCTTTCCTCAACCCTGCGAAAGAATGGTTCATCTAGCTTGCGAAACTCGCCAAGAAACCAGGTTTGTCCTAAATGCAAATAAATGCCTTGATAAGCTTCATCGTCTCCTTGGAATTTCCTACCTTTAGACATTTATATTTTGGTTTCGGTTTGGCAGATGCAAAGTTCAAGTGATGGTGCAAAGATAGAGTCAGTCACAGAAACAAAGCGTAGTTGGCAATATAAGTTGTTTGACCTTGGTTTATCAACTTGGTCATATTAAAAGGAAGACATAGAGAAACTCCCCTTGTCCGAGATATGTCCTTTGGCGAATTTACTGTGGCGTCATCACATCTACTGTTTGCCTTGCTCCCTTCCCTTGCGAGTGGCTGATCCTGCTATGGTCTCCTGTCCGGATCTGCCTCATAGGCCCGTAGGTCAGTTTCTTATCTTTTTGGTTGACCGCGACCATACAAAAGGCCACAACATCCTTGGTATTCATACCGTAGTTGTAAATGTTTAAATTATGAAGTAAGGCTAAAAGTGATGCTGAAGAATGATTCATTGAGGGATAAAAAGTGTACAGGAGAAAAATACAGTGCTTCTTAAACTGAGAATTGATAAAGAAATGACTTGATTTATTATTCTTGAATTTTGGGACTTTTTCTGAGGCCAACCACTATTTATGCAACATTGCTTATGGAGATGTGCTTGGTCCAGTTTTTGGTGCGATAGAGACCCGGGAGTGCAGTAGCATGAAGCATGGTACACGTTTCTTCAGCCCGCACGAATCTGGCTGACTTGGGGGAATATCTTCAAACGAGGAAAAGTTACTTCCGTTTATGAGAAGGGTTTTCAGACCATTAGTACATCTTGAATAAGAAATGCGTTCATCCTATTTCCCACAATGATCTGAGCATTCCTCACGGTTCCATTGAATTGATGAACGTGCAAAAATGTTGCGCTTTATTTAATTGCTTAAGGCTATCACTGCTTATTCGTACTTAAGCACAAATTAACGTTTAGTGACCTACTCGACAGTCCGTTCTGTTACATCTCTTGCCCCAACCGGCCAGTAAGCAGTTATCTCTCAATTCACGCAATATCACTCGGAGCATGACTCATCGACACTATGTCCCGCGGGGACTAAGCCAACTAGACACCGCATCGAGCCTCCCTGTTGAACCAGTAAGAACATAGTATTAAAAGTACACGAGTATTCTAAGGTAGAAACTCCTTCGACTAGGGCTGTTTCTAGGGCGCTTCCTTTGGGCAGTTGTGACTCTTCTGCACCGGTACGACATTCTTCCGTCGTTTTTACATCCCCATATCGAATCATAGCCTGTAACTTATATTCTTTAATACAAGGTTTTTAGTGTATCATGATACTTTTTAAAGTAGCTCTAAGCCAAGCACATTTATAGTGAACAATTTAGATCACTAAAAACGCATATAATCATACATACACACACAAATGCTTTAAGCTTAACATATGGGATGAACTAATCAAATAACTATATAATTTATAAAAATGCATAGGTTTAGGGAGGAAAAAATGTAGGGGATACATCAGTGAGCTAGCATGACTCGTAAGCTTGTGTCGCCCTAACAATGTCTGTTAAATGACTGAAAGAAGCTCAGCACGTTTTTACCGGAATGGAAGGATGTTTCAGGTAGGCTTTAGTAAAGTCAAACGACAATTGACCAAAAGGAATCAGCCAACCAGCGTGAAAGAAACATTAGGTTCGCAATGAAAATGGAAGAGAATAAGTATTTACATTTTCTGGATTTTCTCATCATTAGAGGGTAAC